ACTATTATTGAAACATTCTCAAATTCACAACACAAACATTTACAATTACAATTCACAATATTCACAAATGAATTAAAGAATAAAAGAATAAAGCATGCAAAAATGTGGTCACTGACCACGACTTAATTTTATTCCTGGTCCCTAAGTTCTAATAGAAGTGAAAATAAATAATGAAAAATGAGGAGTTGTTCAACTCCGGATTATTTATTCAAGTTCTAATGAAAAGAAAATGAAGTTCAATCTCCTAACCCAGCGCTTCCATGCGCTATCGTGCCATAACTGTCGGCTATTGTTATTTGGTTGTTCATCTCTTGATATTGAATTTGATGTTTGGCATTTTGATATCTTTGCTGATCCAATATATGGAATGTTGCACGCTGATGATCTTTCGTGCTGTTGTTATCCAGAACGTCGTCATCAACCACCGAACACCATCCATCGAAAACGTATCCGTCGAACAAAAACTTCCATCCAAACGTCGTCCGCCATACTCACTGAAAATACGGCAATTCATATCAGATCACGAGAAAACAACAAGACCGATTGATATTCAAGTCATTTCAAACCACTATGTAACAAATTGAATCACTACATAAATGATTTAATTCCTCACCTTCGATTAGAGTCGATCCGCAGCGACAGCATCGTTGAAGCTGTCAAAGCTTGCTCGATCATCCCCATCTGAAACAATATTAAATGAATAATTCGCAGTTTTTATCAGTATCATTTCAAACGAACAGAACAATTCAATGCGATTCTCACGATTCTCACAATATCCCTAAATTACCACCGATAATGAGAAAACTAAAATCACGAATAAAATATAGAAAGATGTATTACGCATCAACACTCGACCGCATAAACCATTCATCACAATAGTAAATGAATGCTGAAGAAACGTATCAGTAAGGCAGTCACTCTGACATGATCTGTGATGATCGATTGATATGGTACTATTCATGGGAATAGATCAAATGAATCGAATTTTTAAAAAAATCAAAAATTCATACGAATAGAATGTATCATAAATTCATACAAATTGAAGAATCGTGGTAATAGAATTGAAAGTAAATTAAGTCATCTTGGTGGAGTTTGATGGGAAAAAGATCGGTTGACAGGTGGTGTGGTTGCTCTCGTTAACTGGCAGAGAATTGTCGAAATAGCATTGCGATAACTACTGAGAGGGAAAATAGCACGGGAATATACGAGAAAGTAGAGATGCAGAGGCTTCATCAATCCTGTGTGTCATGCCTCAGATGCGAGCGTGTGTGGGTGTACACGTGCGTGTTTAAAGCATTGTAAATATGTAACGTCGTTTGACGTTTTTTGACAGAGTGCACAGAGTACCTATTGCGAAATATCAGTGTATTGAGTAAACAATATCGTAAAAAGATTCGTTCTCTGATCAGCTATTTTACATTGCATCATTGAAACTGCTTCATCAAAGGGAAGAAATGAGAAATGCATGTGAAAGGCGACTGATACAATTGAGATGCTCAATATCTTTAATTTCTATGCAGTCGAATCGCTCTGATGAGCAAATCACTTCCTAGCAATAAGATACTTGAGAACAATTGTAACAATAATGTGGAGCCTTGATAACATTTGTTAGCCTTTGCTAATATTTCATACTGATATGTTGTTTTTGTGAAAAAAATTCAAAAATCTTAGAAAAAATCTTGAAAAATCAAAAATTCCAAAAAAACACCAAAAAACAGAAAAAAATTCAGAAAAAACAACAAGAATAAATCCATAAAAATTCACTTCCTCATATTTTTTGATCAATCCAAAAGAAACAAACCAAAAACCATAATGTCCACAAAGAAAATAGCTTTTTCGCGCATTTCGTGCGCGTTTTTGACGTTTGATAATAATATTGAGTTGGAGCATACTTCTCTTGCGAAGGTGCTTAGAACTTGAAGGTGCTGGAATGTTTTCTGAGGCTTCGATTTCAGTTGCTCTCGAATTCAGTAAATTTTTACTTTCGCTATAAGAGAGTAAGATAGAAAAAAAGAGTGAAGTTCCAAAAATTCGACAAAAAAAATTCAAAATTCCAGCCAGAAAATTTATTTAAAAATTTATCTATTTATAAAAATTCATCTGAAAAATTTATCAAAAAATTGAAACCAAAATTTAAAATCGGAAAAAACATTCGAAAAATTCAAATGTCAAAGTCGAAGAAACATAAAAATTCATCAAAAAATTATAATCATGGCGATAGAATTAAGCAATTGTTTAAAAAATCTAAGAAAATTCGTCAAAAAATTATTTAAACATTAAAAAACATTTAGGAAAAACATTTTAAAGAATCAACAAAAAATTAGCTGAAAAATCCAACAAACACAAGAAAAGGAACGTAGAAAATCTATAAAATTTCATAATTTCAAAAAAAAAATTCATTGTCTACCGTTCTTTTTTCTCTTTCTTGTTCCTTTACTACTGTTGTTTCGCAGTGGTTATTTGGATCACAGTTGTTGATTACACTAGAACACTCGAGCACCTGAAATTTTGCATCGTTATTCTAAAAACTCCGTTTCCGTCAGAGTGCTGCTCCTTCATACATAAGAAACTGAAAAAAAAATGTTTTTCGCTGAACTCTTCATTCTAGCGGCCAGCCGAACGTTGAGGTCACCCGACGTTGAGGCGAGTAATCAGAGGAGATAAGGGAATTCGTTCAAATCCATCGATATCAATGGTAGTTAGTGTTTGAGAGAAACATGCAGAAGAAAGAGTTCTGCGAACGGACTTCGAAATATCAAAAAATGGTTTCGAAATATCGATCGCATTAGTTAGAATGGTTCACACAGCGAGGACAAATGAAATTGTTCAGATCTCATTTGGTTAGAGGCGGTGGCCAGGCCAGGATCAACGGTTACCGTCTTCAGTCTGGATGAAAATCTAGGAGAGATTTTCTTCGCTATAATTTGAAAATGTTTGATCAGCAAATTCTGAAAAAAAAATCATCGGATGAAGTCGAGTATTTCAGCGTCATAAAAGATTCGACTTCTCGTATCTCGTATGTAATTTTTATTTCCTCCGTTTTTGGGTGTTTCAAGGAAGAATTGATTGCATAATACGAACAATTTTAAGACTGTCACGGAAATAGAAGGTGAGAGTTCATAAAGTCGGTTCCATCAATACTGAGAATATGTTGGCGGGTCAGGGTTGGTGAGATGCTGCCTTTTTACGTAAGGAATTGATAGGAGTGACAATTTCTCTGATGAAAGATTTCGGCAATGAGAACAGATTTTGGATAGAGGCTGGGTTAATGGGGCCGGGATGAGACTAATCGGAAAGGGTGGTGATGGCATTTGACTGAAGTTCGGTCGGAATTCCGAGATTCAGATTCCGAGCAAATAGTTTTGAAGTCCGGTCGGAATGTTAAGTGTCGCGCAATATTGAAAAATCGAATCGGTCGGATTCCGACCGAACTGAAATTCCTTTCGGATGCCATCACTAGTAGATAGTATGAGATGAGAGTGAGAGGGTTATGGGCGAGGAAAGATGGTCTATTATTCCAACATGAACTATCTTTCTTCGCTCATAACCCTTTTGCGTCAAAATGGTGTAGAGATAGGGATAGGGGAGGGGGTTGGGGGAGGGTGGGGGTCGGGTCGGGGGGAGTTATTTTTTAGTGTTTCATTTATTGTATTTCATCCAACGGCACCTCGCCGTTGGATGAAACATCCAACGGCGGGGGGAACCGTTGGATGTGCCGATACGACCACGACACATCGTCATGGCCCTGTACGTTACTGTTCCATTGATTGGAACTTCTCATTTCGAGGTTTAATATGTTTGATTTCAGATCGCGTGGATCGGGACGGTGGATCACAGCGGAGGAATGGACAGTATTGTGAATTCGCCGACGAGTCGTGTGAGCTTTGAAGAACTTCTGAGCGATCATCAAAACAATCTGACAGGTTATTATTCTCTTGCATAAAACTATTCATTCACCCATTTATTTCTCTTTGTTCTCATACAAGTGAAATTGTTCCATTAATCCGTTCAACTTCTCAACTATCCTGTATCCACCTAAGTAATGTCTTTTTTAGAATTGGTTTATTTTAAAATCAATTTTTCACATACTGATCATTTCTATGATGGTAGCGATATATAAAGTATTCAATTCTTATTTGAATACGATGTTTGTGAGATATGAACGAAAGCAGGACCGTCACTCAGCAAGCTTCAAGGTCAGTTGTAACTCACAATCCTCTTTTTCGGCATCTTTGTATGCGCGAGATTACGACCTATGCGATAAGTTTCATTTTTCGTTATGGATAAATCTTTAAAGATGAATCTTTCTCCTTGAAGCGATGACCTCATTTATTTCTGAGTTGATGAGTTGCTGTAGATGGTGATTGAACTTGTTGTGATGATCGAGGACACCATAGGCGGAAAGGTTGAGCGCTACAGGTGGAAGGACGGTATTTCACTGACCTGAAGAAACTGATTCTCAGTTTTCTTGGTTATCTTCATAGATAATACTGAATTTCAGTGAACCCGTCGGACTGAAGCGTTAAATTATGGATCGATTCAATGGATGTCAACATGGAGCATATTAGGCAAGGGTTCGAACCTTAGCTAAGGTTTGGGTTTTCAACGTTTTTGATTTCAGATTGCTCATTTTCTTCACTGTTATATGGACGTTTTTTATGGTTCGATATTCAGAACGTACTTTTAGGCAAAAACTGGGTAATTCGAACAGAGGTGGTGGAGAGAATAGCGTTTTTTTTCTGAATCTAATTTTTTCTACTCGAAAGCAACAAGTTCGGGTAAGTGAGTCATATCGCAGTGGTAGAGGGGTGTGTTTTCGTCTGGCAGACCATGGTTGGGGCCTTCTTCTAGAAACTTTTGACATGATGTTTCTAAATCTTTTTCTAGTTTTGCTTTAGGTTTTTGGATTCCTACGGTGTATCCTAACAATAAGAAATAATTTGCGTCTTTTTGCAGTCGATTCGTAAGATGATCAAAGAATAATTTTGGTTAATTTTCAGGTGCTCTTTCCTGAGAAATACAAGATATTGCGTATTGAAGGTACCAAATCTCAAACAATTTCAGATACTTTCAGGAAGCCGGCTAATTCTCAAAACATTCCTTGGTCCTCTCTCATTCAAAAATAATTTCTTTCAGTGAAGTAATGGTATTCATGGGTGAAGCGATTGCTTATTTCGGAATTCGTAAGAATTATCGGAACGACTGCTGTATTCGACTTCCGGCAAAACCTTATCGCTTTTTTCCGTTCACATCAAACGATACTTACCAGTGGTCGCCTACAAAACCAAAATGCACTTAATTTCAATGTCGACATTTTTCGAGTCCTTTGATTTGCTAGAAATTTCTTGCGTGTGCCGCAGTGATAATAAACTGATTCAACCATAGCAAATTGATTTCACTTTTTGAAAAATACTTTCGCCATGTTCTTTTTTCTAGTTGTTCACATCAGTTTGTTTCATTGTCGCAATCAGTTTACTCTTAATCCGGTCCTACCCTTCGAACTTTATGTTCAGTATTCATATCTCCTCTTTAAGCGATCAGTACTCACATCTCCTCTTTCAGTTCTTTTCTACTGTTGGGCGCATATTTACACCTAGTATTATTTTCATCAAGCAATTAATTAAAAATGGTCTCGATCAATATTTTCTCTGGATTATTTTCTTTTTATTGCACTTATTTTCTGAATTAACGTTTTTCCAAGAACAATTGCAGATGCGTTGCAGCAGAGTGATAGGGGTCTCGATTACCGCAAGAAAGCTCAGCGTTGGAAGTTCACTTTTGAAACCTCTGAAATTTTGTTCCTAAATTATATTTCAGGTTTAGGTTTGTGCTTTTGAAACCGTACACTGTGTATCCTGAGAAATAATACAATGATTACGTCAATAATAATTAATATCAAAAACACTCATAATAATAGGAATAACAATAACAATAATAAAGCAGCGTTAAAACCCTGAGATACCCGTGAGGGTTTCATAACAAGTTAAAAAATAATTAAATACAATAATCAGTTCCTTGCTTTTCAAAATATAATAATGACAAGTTGAACAATAAAATGAGACAATTTTCAACGATCAATTATAAAATTCGCAAAGCGCAATGCTTATTTACAATCTTGAATTAGGGCAATGAATGAGTAAACAAATAAAATTGAGCTCATTGATGAGCACAAGTATAATTTTTATACAATACTGTTCATGGCAATAGAAACTGTAACAATAATACATACAACGATAATGCATAGAAACGAGGTTATAATACACACGTTCTTATGTTTATGACACGCGTACATAGGACCTAAATGAAATTAATTGCTATTCATTACAAGGTTGATTTTCAACAGCCAATGAAATAAAAACCATATATACATTAATGCAAAAAATCAAACACATCAGTAGATTAGAATCAGAAATTCTAGCTGCTATAAAAGATCGAGAGACTGTCAAAAAATACAATGAAGTAAACGAGAAATTGATCATTCTTTCTTTGAATGGGACATGTACATTGCATAAATTATTGTATACGAAACAATGAAAAATCAGTCAATTGACAAAGGAAATATTATTTACAGTCGACTGATGCTTCATAGAGAGGAACACTGGCCATATCAAATGCAGCAGTGACTAATCGTATCCCAATTATTCAGTGTTATCATTTTCGATTGGTTATTTCTAGGTGCTACTCATCAACAAGCCAATTGGAATTTGATGCACGTCCGCTTCGGTTGTTATCACACTCGAACAACAGTCGTCGTTGTTCGCATAAATCGTCGTTAACATCGTACGGCCACTCTGTCGTGAGACATTCACGCTCAAATATTATTTATGTTATTATTTCAGAAATGACCAAATAATGGCAATTGTCATAATGTTATTCTGACACATTCACTTCCCCAATTTTTGCAATAATGAGGGTGTATAAGATTTTTTAAAGAAACGACTAAAGCGACATGTACATTACGACTTAAAAAGAAAGAAAGAAAAAAAAGAATCTAAGTTTCAGTTTTCCATTTATGTGTTCAACCTCGCACTTCCTTTCTGAGCAAGTAATAAACCACCAATGAAGACAGCAGCACCAACTACTCACCTGCTAGTGGCACATTCACTCTCTTCACCAGCCATACGATCGGTCATCGTTGAATAGCCATGATCGCTTGATTCAGTTCGTGGTGATATTCGATATTGTGGTCTCACACTTGCTGGTGGGTTTGAAGTACGTTCAAAAGATGCCAACTGTATCAATGTCATCATTTTATCTAAATTAGTGACTGATAAGAGTAGATTTAAACAAAAACGAATAAATAATGCTGAAAAACTGATGGATAAATGAGTAAAAGAACCAACAAACGAATAAATTAATGAATGAATAAGTTCAAACCATCCGAAGATGTGGCCGACCCATCGTGATCGAACTGAAAATCTTCATCATCAGCCGATTGCGCACATAGTGGTGCGTCGAACGAGTCGGTCAGTGAACGAGTTTCAACCAGTCGGCTCACCTGACTACGATAGCAATACACGGCGATCACCTAGAACAGAAATCATCTCATACATTCTACAAGCTAAGTAGTGCTGATCAAGAAAAGAACCAATCAGCGCACATACCATTATTAAGAAAACACTCATGATACCGGCAGCAACTGGACCGACTGGTGTAGCCACCGACCACTGTGCTGCGAGTTGCGATGAGCTATCCAAAGAGCCTGCAAACCAAAATGATCAAATTTGAGCAAGTGTCAAAGTGAGTGTTCAAAGTGAGTGTTAACTCAAACAAATTCTGTGCATAGCACATTCACGTTCAATTTCGAAGACTCACAAAATCACATCACAAACCTTTTATGTGACGGCCTTTTATACCGTTATAGCACTGATCAATAGCACTACAAAATGCATTAGGTAACAAGCTCTTAGCATCCTCATTAAGAGTACACCACTGACAACCAATCACACCCAAACACTTTTCGATACTACTCATTTCTTCACATCTGTAAAACAATTCATACAGAACACTATCGCCTAAATAATTAGTTCTATTACAATTATCAAGCATCCAGTTTTCGATGAAAAAAATTGCAACGATGGAACCGACTTTTTGATGAAACTACTCACCTAATATCGACGCATTTTGGTAGCGTCGATTTTTGTGAAAGTCTTACGGTGAATGGCACCATTTTGGCTAAGTCAGCACACTGTTCGATGGCGGGTAAGGATGAAACGATCGAATTTTGTTGTTGTTGTTGATGAAGATGCTGAAGGATGATTTTCATTTAATTGAGCGAAAATTTATAATGAAAAGTACACTTGGATACTTTATGTATGTAGATGGCTTATAAAAAGTTACTCAAATTTACAGGTTGAATAAATAACTAAAAAAGTGATGAAGAAATGACGTGAAAATGAATAAATAACCAGTTTGTGGTGCTGCGAGTTCAATAAGTAAGATGAATTCGAGAAATAATCAGGTGTAGCGCACTGCTTATCAATCTCCAACGGACACTGGCATGGACATTCGCATTCTGTATCATCGAATCTTGAACACAATAAACAACGACGATCACTCACTGAACAAGGACAGAATGCCTGCAACAATAATATTAGTACAAATCATACGACTCCTAATAAGCAAGATGAACTAATAACATCAATAAATCATCACCTGAATTGGATGCACTGGTGTGCATGATTCGTTGATTAATGCTAAGAATATATTCGACTGCGGAATCGGGATCAATTCAGCTCGTAAACTTTTTGGCTTATTCAAAGGAGACGAACTTAATGATGACGCTGACGATAAAGCAAATTTCGATTGGAATTGCCGTGGTGAGGATGATGATGATGTTGTTGAATATCCATTTTCATCACATAACACCTCAAAAAGATTTTGACATTCCATACACTTATTTAATAATGTAAAAATACACGATCAAATCAGAAAGAAAAAAGAATCATCATCACTAATTGAAGCCAATGGCTGACCGTTAAAGCATCTGCATACGAGACATTGAACTGAAAGAAACGCTGCATTGTTTTTGTTTGCCAATGTGCGCACTGCAGTTTTGTGACGAACTGTTGATTTTGAATAAGATGAGTGACGAGTTGTGGTTCTAAATGACTCATATGGAATCGTTCAACAGCATCTGAATTCAGCATTGACGACGCTGTTATTGTTGACGAGGAAGATGACGAGCTCGATGCTGAACTTGAGGAGTCAGAGCCTGAACGACTGGAACCACCATCCGATGATGCAGATACGAATCCGCTACGTGTTGATGTTGTTGTTTGCATGGTTTCTCCAGCAGATCCAACAGGCGAGATATCAGGTGCGATTCGTAACTCAACACCATCTTCTAGGTTCGATGCAGATGAAGATGGCAGATTATCTCTGTTCTTATCCACATCATCACTAGCACGTTCTTTTGCTGAACCTTTCTTATTACCGTTTTGTGATAAACCTGTTTCTGTACCTCGCGTTAGAACATATCCCAAATCGTCGAATACAACGCATCGCCGCGACTGCAAATATTTGCAATATCACACGTTATGAAATGAAGTGAACGAATAGTACCGCTGAAATAAGTGTAATGACAACAATATCGACGCGAATATATGAATGAACATACTCACCTCTTGACAGACCGGTAAAGTGTTTCGTATCAGTTTTGCCATGAAACCAATCGTCACATCCATTGCAATAACCGCAAAAACTTGATCCTCTTTCGAGTTATGCATACTACCAGCTTGACCTGGATATAGCGAGAAAATTACTTATGGCAGTAGGAGGAGAAGAGTTTTGTTCTCCACGAGCAGAGGGCACATGGAGTGTGAGTGAAGTGGAATAACATAATGCTCAAGTCCTTCCTAACAGCTAACTCAATGTTCTGCATTTATTATCCGTGCCACAATCTCATTAATTCGGTCAAAAACACAGGACTGGACTGCGAGCAATGGTTGGTACCTTCAAAGATAGCTGTTGAAATGGTGATCACTTGACCAACATCATCATCCAAAATCGGTCCTGTTAAAACAATTCGACCAGGATATTTTAGTGCTCGTGTGTACCTTCAAATGCATCCGCATGGTCAGTTTCATCAAAGGTTTTCTTTTGATTGGATGAATATCTTTCACTGTTTTATAAGTTTCTTTATCGAATGCTTAATCCACTCTTTCATTATCCTAATTCCATAATCTGATATGGATACAGACAGAGTTCCGACAAGCAAGGACCAACATTCATCTGGTGAGTAATTAATGATCACTCCAACAAAAACTGAAGTGATTTATTCCTAGGGAGTTAGCAAAACTCAAATGTTGTTCATACTACATACAAAGCAGCAACGAAAGAGGTCGTCATATGATGTTAAACTGAAGAATGGCAATCGCTCACAACTGAGTTCTTAGATGGTACGCAATATTAAAGCAATAAATAAATGCATATGTGCATGACTGGACGGCATCATAGTGTGGATTCAATCCCCATTTTTTAGTACCTTCGTTAATCGATCAAAGAACCGAGGGAAAAAACAAGCGAATAATAACCATGGGTTTAGATCAGGATCGTAATTATCGCGGATAACTGTCGCCGGATATGTGATCATAACGCCTCGAGACGTTGCAATATAACGTCTGATAACGTATTCGTTCGAGAGTGGTGCGGCCTTATCACGCCAATAAGTGATAATGCCTGATAATGCGCCTACATGTTCACGTACACCAGATCGAATTCCCGTATTACGTATTAACCCGAATGGATCACCTGCGAAATAAACTGGTAAGTATGCAGATCATGTGCACTGTTACGGTCTTATGAGAATAGGGCGGTTCACCTTCACGAATACGAATTACTGGTATTGGACGACTCATCATAATATATCATTATTTGTCAGATAAACAAAGAAACGAATCGAAAAAATTTGACCTAAATAAACCCAATAATTAGCAATCCACTGTGGTGTGGGCGTTCGTTGAAATGACGAAACCGTAAAACAACTTGGACTCAAATACACTCCACCCAGTTTCATGCTTGACAATGAGCCCAAATGCGAGCAGTACGGAAGAAATGAATCACGCTGAAAACAAATCATTAACAACAGCATTACAACATAACCACTATGTGTATTTCGAACACAATACCAATTTATTCTACCTATTTGCAGGCGATAAAAATGGATTGCGTGTGTCGCGATGAGAGCGAATTAAGATAATCAGAAAATACCTCAATCAAAAAAATGTTAATAAACATCAAAATTTCTCAAGACAAAAAGAAAATATTCGCTGATCTAAAAAGCTGATATCGGCCGAGATCAGCGAAGACAAAACAATCTCCTTGGGATAGGGGTGGAACATTAAAATTCAAACAGTATAAAAGAAGCAGCAAAAAGCAACTCGGGCATTCTTTTCGTATTCAAATCCAGTCTTCGTCCCGGGGCTCGGTCCCCAAGATCATCGACGCTACTTAGCGTCCTGTGAACCAGAGCGCCAACTGGTGCCAAATGCCGCCGGGTGCTAATTAGCACCAAAAGATTCCCGGGTGCTAATTAGCACCAACTTTGTCGCTGGACGCTAAATAGCGTCAAACCGTAGCCGGGCGCTAATTAGCGTCAAATCGTAGCCGGGCGCTAATTAGCGTCAAATCGTAGCCGGGCGCTAATTAGCGTCAAATTGTAGCCGGGCGCTAATCAGCGTCAAACTATAGCTGGGTGCTGATTAGCGCCAATCAACTTCAACCCTAATCCTCCGTTCACTTCAGATTGGTAACCCGTCGCCCGGCCTTCTCGTTCGTCACTCATTCCGCGTTAAATCATCATTGTGATCAACTATCGATATCATTGTTGCACTTCATTGTTATTATTCTGCAGTTTAGTCGGTCTCTCTATCTCAATCCTCCTTCCTCCCCAAAAAAGCCGTCGTTTCTTCAAAAGGTGCGTCGCTTAGAGCATGTGCAAATGTGATAAAAACAAATGCGCACCTGAACATCCAAGCGATGATAAACCAGATTATCAAGAGCATAATGCTGTCGAGCGTTCTTCTCAAGCACTGCTATCTTCGCTTCGCTGTTTGCCTCTCGTAACACCAAAACCACTATCAACGGCGCATTTTTCAACTGAACACATTATTAATTACCCATTAAACATTGTTGTAATAAACTAATCACTTTATTACTCTTATAAAATTACTCAAAAACAAAACTCAAACGGATCCACTAAAAATCTAACAAATAAAAACCGAGCTGATGAATACGATTTTTCGATTCCCTTTCCATTATGTCAATTAATCATCCAAACAAAACCAATCAGATCTTTCAAATGAAAAAAAAAAGCATAACAATAGTAACAATAATAATAATAAAATTAAAAAATAATAATGTTAACAACTAGTACTAACTCTTTTCCAACTATATTTTAGCTTTATTGTGGTCGTATTCGATTGTTGTTGCTGTCGTTGCTCCAAATCGAAAGTTCCCTCATCCAGTTCGGAAGATTCAAAGAATCCACTCATCCACCGATCAGCCGATGACCAACCTTCCAAATCGGCAATGTGCAACGGCCACGGTTGTGTATTGCGCAGTTTTGAGTCAACAATTACACGTCTTCAATTTTTTGCATACACTCCCTATTTTCTTGATTGCAACACCACCATGTCCCTATGACAGATGGTGATTGACCGCAACCGGGTCGGTGAAGTCCAACCGAAGTTCAGAATTGGATTTCGATCCAATAAATTTTTCCTTCGGTTACAATAGACATTTTCATTGCTGGTCATCTTCTATGTATCAAGCTTATCAACTAATAAATCAACTCAAATTTAATAAACAAATACCCTCGCAAATCACAGATCAGTAAACGTAAACGCGTGTGCGATGGTGCCATCAAGACAAAATCTGTATACTTAACGATATCGGTGATAACTTCCAAGTTCAAATCGATGCCAACAACAGAAATCTAAAATCATTCACTATGCGAATAACCGCAATAATATCATAACAATATTTAAAAAGCACTAATCTAAGATGTTTAAAATTTCTTGCTTATCCTAACATTCCTAATCAATAGAAATTTATAACATTCCTAATCAATAAGAATTTATTTCGTTCGCAAATGACAACAATGAACAACTGCATATTTGAAAACGAAAACAAACCAAATGCTCGTTCTTCAGAACAGGCTTCGATATTGAAATAAGTGTTGATTGGGATTCTCGAAACGGATTCGACCAGAATATTTTACTATTATTATTGATATTATTGCCATCATCACCACCGTGATTCGACGACCTGTTTTCTAACCGATATTCATCGAACAATAATAAATCATAGATCTGCGTTAATGTCAACAATGAATATTCACTCTCATTTATCAATAACATCTGAAATGCGATATCATTGTCATTACTCTGTCTGAATAGCATTGAATACCACTGCACAACATTGAATCATTTCCAGAAAGCAGATATACTGCTCGCTTTGCAATGATAATGATAATAAGAATAAAAATGACACCTGTGACGGTATTATGTTGATAAATATAAAACTTGAGGCATTTGAAGAGATAAAACCAAAAGGAAAATCGATAAGTGAACGAATGAATGATTCCGAAGGATGCGATGAAAAGTGTTGACACCCGGGTTCGAACAGTGCCGAACATTATTGAGAGGAAAAAAATCCCCAGCTTGCGCTTATTTGTCAGCCTGAGACTATGAATCAAGCATTAGCCTGAGCCTATGTGTGCACCTATGGTTAAGCGTAGGCTTGAGCCACTTCAAACTTTTGAACTGTCGACGTTTTTTCGCTAGCTCATTTCAGCAATTCTCCATGCATTTCGGCACATCACTCACTCACCTTCCCTTTTGGCGCAGACAACCTGGTTGTACCAAGAGCCATTTTGATTTTTTCACTGAACGATTGACGATATTTCGAGAAATTTTGCTCAGCAATATTTTTCAAAAATTCTGTTGACCATAACATTGGCACTCGTTCACCTGAAAGCAATAGATACATTTACATTTAGAGAACTACATGGAACTGAATACATGTTTCGCATACCTATGAGAACGTCAACAAAAGAAACATTTCTCAAAAAATATACAAGCAATATAACATCAACAATATTCAAAAGTAACTAGTACAATGTTGGTAATAACATTGATAATAATAATAACAATAACGATAATAATAATAATAATAACAAGAACGAACGCTCAACAAGTGCAAGTGTATTGAGTTTAACTCGAATATTCGTTTGCAGAATGATCTCAGCTAATGCGTTCAACACGGATGCAGCTTCGCTCAGTTCTGACATAACACCACGACTCACGTAATGCAATATATTATGATAAACAATATTATTTTCACTGTTCCTTGCCGTTACATCACTAATTTTATGTCCAGACGATGAGGAGGATGAAGATGATGATGATGATGATACTGTACGTGCTTCCTCTTCCTGAAACGAGCAAACGAATATCACTGACATTGATGCATCTTTATGACCAATTCTCACATGCAAAATTACCCGGATCTCGATGAAATAAAATACGTGAATTACACTGGAACATCGTGATCAAACGCTCAACCAGAACAATGACGTTGATCACAATGATAGTGATCGTTGCATATTTCTTTGACAATGAATGAATGAATGAAACAATTCAATTTTAAATGCACCACCTTAACGAAATGATTATAAGCGCTTTGTAGCGCACGTGTATGCGAGTAACCCTTGTCTTTGCTCAACTCTAAACCATCCACGAATGCGATCAACATTGCCAGTTGATCTTGTGAAGACTCAACAAAATTTTTATGCCAACAAACTTGACTGACGTTCGAACCTTTCGCTACCATCACCATATATCTTAAAACTAGATGTCACCCAACAAACACCATTAACATTATTAACATCAACTCGTTCGCATAAATAGGTTAAGCGTTATCCGACAATCCCCCCCCCCCCCCCCCCCCCTCCCTAAACTTAACGAGCGAGTTTTCAAACATCAAAATTTTGCACACATAACATTAAGACGGATTATTTCGAGTAGAAATAAAAAAGCAGAATAAAAGAACGTAACAGATGAAGCAAGCCAACAACCCAATCAATCATCACATACCGATCATTCGGTGTAGCTGCATCGAGTAATATTTTAGCGACATTTTTCAAATGAGTTAATTGAATTTCATTTTTGATCGTGCCTGTAATGTGAGAAGAATTTGATTTTTTTGCATCACCTATACACATCTTCAACTTCAAAAAGAAAAAAAGAACATTCCACTTAAATGAAGTACGAATGATTTCAGACGCACAAAGAATGAGAATAAATTAGCTTCTTTCGAGCTGAACACTCATACTTATCGCATGTGCACCTATTATATTAATATTAGTCAATGACTGAAAACGCAATGCTTAAATGAGACCGACCATAAGCTGTCCAGGCCAATCTTTCCAATCGGCTCAAAACAATAAACAGCAAAATGCAAGCAATAACAAACCCAAATCCAGTAAAATAAGCACTCGTTTTCGGTAGGGTAATGCAGCGGATAAATACGGAGTCCAATGTCTGCGTTTCTGAACCGGAAAGATATGTGCTGGATATTCGACATGTGTCCCTTGAACACCGATCGCGTACTGCCATCGAATGCCAACATCACGAGCATTCGATTGTAACACTGCACACAAGCAAATTTACGTTTACGTCTTTAAATGACAACATCACCACTTTATTCATCGCTCAATAATAGATCTTACATGGCACATTTATTGTTGACTCCAATCCTCTTGCAGTTAACTGTTACATGTTTTGTAGCTCTACGCCTCTACGATCGTCAAGTCACAATAGTCGAGAACAGAACTTCATGATGACGGATAATCCCCTATGCCGTTATCGTTAGGAAGGATGTCAAGGGAGGAAGAATGTACTGATTTAGAGACATAAACTTGTGATGTAGAGACATAAACTCGTAATGAGTCACTGTGATTGTCGCTTGAATGAATACGAAAATAACTTTGTGAGCAAACTCATAAGCCACATGTCAAATAATATTCAACTAAGAATTCACATATGAAAAAAGTTATATATTATTAGTCACATGTACTTTTCAATTTCTTTCATCGTTGTCTCACTTTTATTTATTTTATTTATATAACATTTTATATGATAACGTATTTTTTGTCTTTTCTGATTTTGCATTCGTTATGTGTTGTGTAGCGTGTAATATATGACGAATTTTGGTGCTGATATTAGTACGATTTGACGCTGTAATAGCGATGTCGTTGTATAATACAATTGAAAACCGAAAGATAAATGAACAAATAATGTTTTTTGTTTTAATTAACCATTAATGAGATTTTTGTCTGGATAGTAGAGTACATTTTGTGCACGACGATTCACAACGCTGCACGCATTCGATAAATTCACACGTGTTCCAAACTGTTCCTCATAACTGCAAATTTTAATGAGCAAATGCACGAACACTATAAAATGAATAAAGGTATGTGTAAAGCCATCACATATGCAATATGCAATATGCAACAAATAAATTAATCAAGTGAAGAAGCACTCACCACAGAAGTGTCGGACTAATTCTCGAGCATTCGATCATCGATCGATACGCTCTGAAGTTGGCTGATTCGCGTCGATGATTGCTCATCAAAAACGAATGTGTTTTATTCAGTAAAGTTACGTACTTGATGAACGCTGTGTCCAAACGATTCGTTATCTCATTGATGAACGATGCATTCAATGAACGCTTCTTGAAACATAGTCCATCGATGATCGACTAAAATTTCAATTATCATTATCTTTGTAATCACCATCATTTCCACTCTATAATCACCCGAACACAACTGACACAGCAATGCGATAACTGACGTATGCATTGGACTGACTCTAATTATGCTTACTATCTCATGAATATGCCAATTTTCTAGTGATTTATTCACAATATCATTTCAAAGTTATTATTCGGAAACGATAGCAGCAGCATTCATTTTTCAAAACTATTCCCAAGAAAACAATAGCAAACCCTTGAACCTTATATGTTAATCTATAAGCCACGGTGATTCCTCCTCAGTAATTGCAACAATTTCCATCACTCGAAGGGAACATTTTAGAGTGGAATCAACCTTTTTGTTCTCATTCTTAATACTCGTATGATTTCAACTACCATTCTGCTATGACCATCAAAAACAATCGCATTTCATTGGTTTCACTATTTTTGTTTATTTTGCTAGTTTTCCTTTGCTATCCATATTAATTTATTCATAGTTACTAATGTTATCATTCTTATACAGCCAATACTCTAAAGCTGCATGAAAAAATATGCCTTATATTTTAGTACGGACTATGGCATCTGCAATGCATCAATCACTCCGTCGCCACAAAATGTACACCAATATTAAATGAAATTGATGACGGTTGATTATGTCGAAAACTTGACTTTATGATCGAATAGGCATACATACTTATTATTGGTTTGTTTCGAGGCAGTGGTAAATTCTAACGATTTTTTTCATAAGGGAGGTTAGACAAAGGATAAAGGGAAGTGTTCTCAATTTCCAATGGACGAATTACCGAATTTCAACGTGAAAGTTTTTCATTTCCGAGTGTAACCGAAAAAAGTAATACATGTATATGGTTCTGATGATATTTCCGCTATGCAAATGCATGCATGTTTCATTGATGATGAGAAATGAAAATGGTTATGGCTGCGATTGTGCTTCACGTCGGATATACCCACAGAAGGGTGTTCAGGCTTACTCATCTCTGATGTTTTAACTGATTTAGTCACATTCTTAGAGGCTGTAAACAAACAAAATATGAAGAAAAAAAAGTTCAGAAGAGTTAAGACTTGTCTTCATCAATATGAAATTTCATCATTATACTGACCTGCATTACTGGAACACCAAGCAGCTCATTCACTTGTGTTCGTAACGCTTTATGCAGATGATCCGCGGTGAAATGTGCAGCCAATGTCATATAATTATCTCGTACGATTTTATTATCGGATGCGTAATAACTGTTATTGCAATCACATCTTCGTACCAAAATGATTGTAGCAGTCATAACAACAGCTATTATACGCCAACTTGTTGATGAATGCAGACAACGATTGAGGATTACGGTCATCGTGGCCATTCTCTTCTTATGTGAACGTCAAATGAATGATTATCTCTTTCAAGAAATGCGAGAGTTTCTCGCGTTGCTTACAGTGAGAATTTCGATTATGCACTAAAATGCTGAAAAAAAACAACAACTGATTACGAACAAATTTCATTGCAGTTACTTAGGTTGCTTGAAATGTTTACTATTTTCATAATTAAAACCAAAAAATGTGTCCGAATAAGTTCATGTGCCATTTGAGTACAACGTAGTCAAGTCATGTGATCGTTATGTGCATTACTTAAATATCTCTCATTTCCGTAATGAATACTTCTCAGAAAAAATCTTAAGTTTTCAGAGGGTATGAGAGCAAATCTGATTCTAAGTTAGATAGAGCCTGAAAATGATACTAAAATTTGGAACATTCCGCAAATGGGATATCTTAAGATGACTACAGCGGGCAGAATTGATTCATTCATCTAATTGGATCATCCCAATTCTACCGCTTCTGTCTTACTGACATCACATGAACTCGTTTCATCATTGGTCATGGAAGATATTGTATGTGTATGATTTGATGGATTGAGTAGTTCACGAATAGAATAACTTTTGAAGTAGCAAATCGTGTCATGAAACCGCAGCCTTATGAATCTCATTCATATTATTGGACTTTTGTATAGATGCTCATTAATAATGTGTGCATCATTCAATTTTAATAAGGGTATTCATTTAGATTAATGCTCAATCATCAATTCAATTCATTTTGTATCATCATTTTCAATGATCTTCAGTGAAAGGCGCTCATTTACAGATCAACTGAACTCAACCAACTCAGAGTTAGTCATTTGATATGCTGATCATTTTCTAAAACCATCAATGGCGCCAATAAAATCCCAAATAAACAAAATAATTCGTTGGTTAATTTACTGTAGGTCGATTCACTCGACGTGGCTGGATGGTGGGTACAACACCTAACATTACGCAATCATCCGCTGAAATTTTGTTTGTGTTCTGTCGCCCCTTCCCCCGTCATGGAGGGAGGACTTGCTCGCACAAGAATGGTTCTTATCTTCAGCTGGAGGTCTCTACGATTAGCATGTGATGATGCTACTGACCGACAGCAGGATGTGTGAACGCGAGCTCCTTCCCTCGTGCCTCATCTCTAAATTCATTACTTACCAACACTTTCCTTTTTCACTCTCCCCTTGCAACACCCAATCATATCCCTTCCTTTCTCCTGCTTTGAATGGTTCTCAAGCACCTCGCCTTGCTCAAGCACCTGTCTACCTCCCAAAATGATACTGCTGAGTTCCTTCATCCTTCTTTCGTTTATATATTCATGCACAAAAACAGTTAGTTAAGTTCGATTATCTAATCTCTCATATAGTTTCAATAAACACTTACTTATGTACCAGAAAAAAGCCGAGTCAACTCAAGCCAACATCAAAAAGCAACAACCGAACAGCTTGCGATTTGCTTATTATCAACACAACCAATCCTGTTTATCTCAACGCAACAGCAACCGAGTTATAATAATAATCGCTACTTCACCATCATAACGATCCAATCATTAAAACAGACGAACAAATACGATGACTATTGCTGCTTTGATAATACGATATCATTTACTGACGTTGAAGACTAGTGACCTTAACGAAAACACCCTGAAAATTCATTGAGAAAACTCGCTTGAATCAGTGGCAAAACCATCTTGAACATTATCTTCGTCAAGCAATCGTTAATAACAAACCATTTTCAGGGAATAGCTTGGGACCAAAAACCTTGTAGGCTTGAAAAAGGCCAAAAACTTGAAAGGAAAATACGAGGAATGAACAACAGGAGCAAACGTTGGGTGGTAATAGGCGTGCTTATTGTAGTCATATTGAAAAGACTTGGCAGCCCCGGATGAGATTCGGTTGCTACGAAATTCCACAAGAGGTTTTCTTATGATGACTGATTTGAATCATTTCTATCTGATATTCGAAATTTCTGAGGAGAAAAATTGAGCAACAACAATGAACGCTCAACTGATTGCTATACTGAAAAGTTTGAGCACTTATTGCTGAAATAGCTTATTTTGTACTCTGCTCGTATTTCAGAGAAATCGAAAGGGAAGACTTTTCGTGACACTTTTGCGTCATCATATTAATGATATACATTATGCGTCCGTCAAGCAGTAGGAAATTTAAAAAAAAAAAAAAACAAAACAAAAACGGCAAAAAGAATAAGAAAAAAAAACTGAAACGAACATTAACTGTGAAAATAATACTTGAAAAAGATGCTCGCTTCAATCCACATAAGTATGCATTTGTAAGACGGAATGAATCATGCCGATTTGAAGTAATCTCGATAAGATGAGATTACCAACAACAAAAAACAACCATAATGAACAATATTATATTCAATCAAACTGTTCATGGATACATTTATAATTTATGTACTTTTCATCCGTATGTTTCCATAACACCATCATTAGCACATCAAAAATTTTGATCATCAACTGCTGCTTCATCTTATCGTTATTATTACAATTCTTTTTGAATTAGTCCAATCAAACAACGAGATGCTCTGTCGGCTCTCTTAACAACAACACTACATCTCATAAAACACGTTTTATGTCATTCACAACTTATCATATTATTATCACCTCTGAAGACAAATTTGCTCTCATAAAAAATTTTTAATAACTCCCCCTCTTCCCACCTATTAGCCGAAAAATCGTCAATTTTTAGGTGACAAATGTGGTGTTGTTACCATTTCTGAAACGTCACTACAATAATTTTACAAGTGATAGTAATATTATTTGTAATAATGATAACGAACAGAACAGCAATAATAACAATAGGAATAATCTGTCTAACCATTGATATTATCATTATTACTAGTGCTGATACCATTATTCTCAAAATAAACGACCAAACGACCCAATAAATTCACATTATTAACCCTTTGGAGTTCTCAACGTTCTCGTTTTGGGAACATAATCTCAAATGCTAATTTACATTTTTTCGGCAAAACATGGGGCGAAGTAGCCCTTCATTCAAGTCGACTAACCGCCAAAATTTTTTGTGGATACTAAAGACTCCAAGTGTTCCATATTACTGACTAGAAGGATAGAATTACATATTACATTAAACTTATTCAGTTTTCACCTTCATTTTCTCAAAATGGGAACAACGTTGGACGCTTATGTTATAACAATAACAGATTTTCATTTCAATCGCTTGTGCAACACAAAATCAACCCTTTCACCTTCAACTTCAATTCATATCCGATTAACCCAAAACTAATAATGGCTAGTCATTGTCCAGGTGGGAGATTTTGACCAGAAAGTCAAGGAGCAGAGCCGTCAAAAAAAACAGCTCCCTATCGAGGTTCCATTCTCTCTGAGTATGGTGCATAAACATCGTGCAGCACTGGTTTACGACTACAGTTCATTGCAAAAGTTTGATCTTGACTCGAGTTCGTCGTGAAACGATTGATTCGTTCCAACCGAGCCACTGTAAACTTTTATCCACAGCGGAAAGAATCAGCAGTTTCAGTGGCAGATCGATTCGACAGTTCCGAGAATTATTTTGGTATGAATTTAAATTGAATGAAAGATTTCATTTCGAGGTGCACAAACGTTTCAAACGGATACGACGAAAACCTGTATTTGTTCCTACTCTAACAGTCCAACGTTACCATCTTGGAAACAAAATAAAAATCGTAAATACGTCAATTTTCATGAGAACTGAGTTTGCGTTTATCTTAGTTAGCGTAAAGCAAATAGCATATCAAAAAAATCAGACTTCTACTTCAACTACAACTCTAAAGGGTTATGAAATCGCTCACATATGAGGAATTAAATTTAAGAAAAAACTACTGAATAATACAAACGTAATGAAATCTACCGAAAAAAGAAATGAAGTTATTAAGAAATGTACAATCAAAATAATATAATTTGTATAAAATAAAACATCAATCAATGAGTGCACTGAATTACATTAAATGAGAGAACAAGCGAATAAATGAATAATCAAAACCTAGCAATAATAATGACGATAATGTTATTATTATTATCACTATTATTCTTGATTGAAATAACCGAATTGAACAATGAATGGATGGGTCTTTAGCACAACCACAAAAAGAACCACTACATTACATTTTTTTAAAAAGTAGTAGATCGCATCTTAACCATCACCGCGATCATAAATCTGTTTAAATGAATACATATATAATATATCACCGATCCATATGATTGGATCTGGTGGATACCCTTATTCTTATTGTCAATATCATAGGGACTATTATTACCATTACGGTTATCACTATTACTATTACCATTGTTATTATCATTCGTTCACTTATTTCTTAGATCAGCAATCAAATCGCCCCTCTATTATTACAGTTACCCGGGCACTCTTCTCAAAAGATGTGATAGAGCTGATGGTTTGGAAGCGAGAGGCTTGCTTTCTTGTTATCTTAATTGCTTATCAAATAAGTAACGGCACATATGGGTATTCTTATTAGAACAGATCATAATGAAAAGAATAAAAGAATCCACCGTACAGTATCAAAATTCGTTTCGTTATCATTCAAAAAAGAGCACCAAAATTGTATCGAATCTCCGAACAAATTCACTTATCGTCGACAAGTAATATCGAATAATGAAATAAACAAAAAATGAACGCAGAGTAAAATGAATAAGTAAACAATAAAATGAATATTAAATGAATAACAAAACACAAAAAGAACAGAAGACAGATTGAATAGAGATAAACTTCCAACGGACGATGCTTCACATTAAACACAAAAGTACAACATAACTTAATGGTAATGACGATAATTTTATTAATAAACTGGAACAATGAAAAAAAAATAACAATAATATTAATAATGACAATTATTATAATTATAATTATTATTACTATTATTATTGTTGTTGGCGTGTATTTCAAATATGGATTGGCAGTGAACTGTTGGACTGAACTGAACTTAATTTAACTGAATCAAAAGAAGTAACTGAATAAAAATAATAATAAACCAGTAACTATCAAAATAAATAAAGAAAAGAAAACTTAAAAGAATAAATTATCATTTAATGGGATAAGTGCTTTTTTAATAAATACTACCGAATTATTCAAAGACAAATTATCGATATAATACAAAAAATTCAACGTCAAACATCAGACTAAAAAAACAAACGAAATAAAACAATAATGAATAAATTCCTAGAGATGAGCAGCAACAACAAAACATATAATGAGTAAACAAGTATGCATAATGGATTAACAAGGAGTTCGTCTTGTTGAATAGCAATTGAGTTCAAAATTGTTTTGATTGCCGTTTGGCTCATCCAACTGACTGCTTGAAATGAAGTGAAGTGAGATGAAATGAAACGATAATCGATCATGCTAAAGAGCAAGATCGTTCATTCGTTCATTTACGTATTTCCGGATCACAAAAATATTTTCCAGATAGAACTTTCCGTCGTAGCATCGACAAATAATACGAATCGTCTGAATCAACAACCACACTCGCTCCTGATATTGATGCATCCGATGTCTGTAATCAATCAATCAAACTAACAGCTTTCAAATATCATCATTTCATAATACGTCTACCAATTTATTTTGTGATTGAAACAACACAATAATGATCTACTGCTATCACATCAACGACTCACCTGGAACTGTACGTGTGTTTGTGATGCATTTGATGGACCATTTGAGATTGCCAAGCGTGCTTTCAATGAGCCGTTACACTCACCATGCCTTGACAGTTCGGTCAATTTCCACGACACTGTTGAATCAGACGGTGACCTCAAATGTATTCTTATTATTATCCTTATAATAACAATAACAATAATAATTATTATCCATTAGTGCCCGTCCATCGAAAAAGACCTACTTTTGCGTCCCACACGGGCATTTGGGTACTGACGGGATAATTCGATGACTGTAAAAAAGGAAGTGAATAAATGAATAATGAACTACTCACCACTCTTCCTTCGGATCTGCATGAATCGAATCGACTGTACACAATCCATCGATTTTCACTGAGAACGCAATATTCAGCAACGCTGTCTGTATACTACTATCCGTATTCAAACGATAATCAATTCTTAAATCCGTGTTCTCCTTTTCCAACTTCCAATATGCGGTTAAGAGCAGCGGTGGTGATACCACATCACGTACTTCATATCGTAACACCTTCAATCATCATCCCTCCATAGTCATCAATCAATTGCTGCACACAACCCACCACCAATAATGCATCGAAAACAAACCTCAGCGTTATAGAAATGTGCATTCGGCTTATCAGTTTTCTGCGTTTTTAACCATTCGGCCAATTGCGTTCTCTCAAAACGAAACGTGAACGGTGCATCGTATGCGTCAACCTCATTCGATAACAGCTAAACAAATAAATAAATAAACGCCTCATTAAATGAATCCTTTCAAAACTAACACACCAATATCATTATCTATCTCATTTTCATCTTTATCATAAAGAAATTTAGTGAGAATAACGAAGTAAAACGAAGAATATTCTGAGCGGAGAGGAAAAACTGACAAAACCGAATAAATGCAACTCGATAACTCTTCTTACTTACCTGCTTATTGGGAAGAACTGCCTTGATGTTGTCGGCAGATGTTAGTCGAAATTTAAGCGCTTCCAAATCCGAGTTCAGATCTGTTAAGACAGGTACAGCCGATGCTGGGAACGATATCAGAACGGTGCCAAACACTCGAACTACTCGTCTGAAATCTCAAACAATGCGCATAGAAAGAAAAAAACGACGACGACGACAAAAAAAACAGAAAAGTAAGAAGGATGAAGCGAAGAACACGATAACAACCAACTGATTGATATCGGCTCCTTTGAACCACGCATGAATATACTCATTAACGGCCATCGCGATCGGAACACGATGCTCAGTGATGGTTGACGAAGCACTATTATTTGTGCTTGCTGCTGATGGTGTGCAAGCCTGATTGGAAGGAGTAGGCTGATTGAAGAATGGCGATTCTGTATGCTGACAAGACTGAGCTTGCTGCTGGAAACAGTAACCACCCAGAGAGTTCACCGATTCGCTCCGCATGAAAAATGCCGTATTCTCACTGCTACCAGATGACTCCTGGAATCAATTAATCAGAACTATTACTACTGATGATGAACATCATGATAGTGACAATAATAATAAGAATAATAATAACAACAATTGCAATAAGAATATTAATAATGTAATCATATAAATAAAAATTATAAACACCAATTAATAATAACAATAATAGTAATAATAAAAAATATAATAACAATGTAATAATAATAAATAACAATAATAATGCCGCTAATAATACTACAAAGATGTAACAATAACGATAAATAATAATCAAAAAATATGACAAAAATAACAAACGAATATACATCAAACATATACAACAATAAAGCAATAATAACCATGTACAAATAAAAATGATGACATAAATCAAAGCAACTAATAACACGTCCGATACTTATGAAAGAAGAGTACTACAACTCACTCGTCTTGACAACGGTTGATGAGCATTGTTGAGAAGAGCCGCAGAAAACTGTGATGATGCAGTCTGAGGTTGAGATTGCTGTGAGATGAGTGGATTGGTCGAGTGAACGCTAGTTGGAGTAGCAAACGAACACACTTGAGCTTGTGTTTGAGTTAGGGTCGGTGTGTTACTTCGCGGTCTGGCTCGTGCCATCGTACCAGCTGATAATGAAACCGAAAATGGCAATGCTGTTGTGTTCGAACTATCTGAAAATTTTCAAACAACAATAATAATAATAATAACATTCCTTTATCAACGATCAAAATAACATTTTTCTTTATCATTCTCATGAGACATCTCATCAATTCAGCATTCTTCGTCGCCTTTCCACATTAAAACGCTAAATATCGATGAGTTTCAGCTGCCATTCAAATCAAACGTTCACCTCGAACTGAAATCTCCACTTATCTAAGTCTTCTCACTTCTATTCAATCATCCACCCACATCACTTAACTGCTGAACGCAATTAAAACTAAAGAAAAAAGCCGGCTTGAAGTTGCTCTCAACGCTCGATCACAAACTAACTGTCGTCATTTGTACGCTAAAACTAAAACCCAACAAACGTCTTCACTAGTGCCATACAATCTACTTAACAGCTATTCACATTCTATCATCCACTGACCGACCAACAAAAAAACGTTCATAAAAAGAGTTCGCTCAGTGAAATGAGCGTCATTCACCACCAACATTGATTCATCCCTTCTCATTCATTCATTAAAAAATTCACAACAAGTACATACCATAAAACCTTTTCCTTAAATGGTCATCACCAGTCAATGTGGCACGTAACGGTCTCGCGCTAGCACCGCCTAAACTTAAACTGAACGGTGTTGTTCGCGTGGTGGCTGTCCAAGGATCCTAAAACAAACAACAACAATAACAACGAACGATGTAATCAAAGCATTCCATCAAATCACACTTGCTGCCTGCTATGTCTTTTTTTCAAGATCAGTTTCATAAATACTAAAGAAGGTCCCTCTCCTCCTATAAAATATCGATAGCCTGACTAAAACAGTGTCGAATACTGTTGCTCTTAAGTGGAAAGGAAAATGTCTAAAGCTTGGACGTACGCTAATTTGAGCGTACGCCTAAGGCTAATAAGCCTGCGCCTAGGTTTAAAAGACCAGTTGATAAATTGGTGCTTTTGCACTGTCGCTTGAAGCAACGATGAATTAATACTACGAACCCTATCAAAAGTACTGCTACGATTAATGGATGCACTCAGATTGATATGCCCGATCGCGTCACGCAATTCATCCACTGAAACATTAACACTCGCTTTCGATTCACTCAATGGTCGAATATTCAGTTGGCGTAATTTTGCGGCACGTATCCTCTCTTCATCCTCATCATCGTCATCTAAATGTTTACTTCAAACATCACTGTTTTACTTTCACTCTTAACAACCGTCGTTTGATAAGCAACGTTCAATTCAATTCAAAAAAGAAACACGTACCAGAAGATTCAGTGCAACTACTCCATCTGGAATCGTCATCTTCATTTTGCGCGATCGGTGCTGTCAATCTCGTATTCCCATCATCAACCAAATCTCTTCGGCAAGTGTAGCCTTCATCATCAATATCATCGTCATTTTCGTCATCCAACATCATATTTCTTGATGTTATCGCTTGTGAACTACTATTGCCAACTGGGCGTACACTTGTTGCTGCTCGAGTCAGTGGCATATCCATTACGTTTAACACACCATTTGCATTATTGTTACTAGTAAGAAACTAAAAAATTTTTTTTCATCACTCATATTATTATTGCGAGTGAAAATGAATGAAAGCAATCGAATCGGAACAATGCAATAAATCGAATTGAATCACAATCAAAACGAATACAATATCAAATACAAACCCCCTTTTCATCACTCTTACTGCTGCTCGTTGTACTTCGGGTATCCTCAATTCTAAAAGAAACATTCACTAAAAAATCATAACAAAAAGCTAAGGCAATAGTAGTAGCATCACCATTATCATCATCACACCAGTATTTCAAGAACAAAGAAGCAACTAATTTCATTTGCTTCTTTTCAAATGAGATGAACGCACAAGAGCCAGAGAACCGATTCAAGAAAATTTGGAAACAACTATGCATTCTTCGTAAAACAACAAAAACACCCATATAACGAAAGTTAAATACCCGATGGTGTGATTATTGCTATTATTATTGTTGTTGCTATTATGGATGACTGATGTTGTAGTTGCTGTTGCGTTTGCCACTGTATTATCGGGCGTTGTTGACGACAGATCCATTGTTGATTTCTTCGACTTATTTCGATATTTCTTCAGAAATCCTTTAATGTAAACTTCATCATCAAGAACTGATACATATAGATAAAATGAGTAAGTAGCAAATAAAGACCAAGAATAAGTGGATATTGAATGAAATTTCAAAATATGATTCAGTGTTAAGCGACAAATCAAACAGTTATGGTAGATGAGTTAGCAACAACACACTGGATATGAGCTTAATTTGCAGTATTTTCGGCTGAAATTTTACTCGGAATGGTTTTTAATCGACCAAGTGAGCCAAAATCGACCTCTATTTTAGAATGCAGAAAAAACAATTTTTTCGTGCCATTTCCACATCACTCTGATGTGGATGTATAAGTGAGCAAGGGTTGCGGTTGTGCGTGAATTATAATACGACAACGGAAATTCTTCTGGAAGGCAAACAATCTGCAGCGCTGACCAGAAGATTCCGATTGACTATGCGAAAAGTCGGTGACAGGCATATCAGTTGAGGGTAGACTGGACTGTGAGGCGTGTTTCCTTCGTTTTCCCGGTAACCATAACGATAGCTTCTGACGTCCCAATGATGATGAAAATGATGTGGCTGTTGGAGTGATGCTCGCATTCGATGCGCAAGTGGCCACCACCGCAGTTGGTGTTGTTGTTAACGTAGTTGCCGGTACAACAGATGTAGGTACTGTCAACGAAGAACTACTGTCGCTGGCGGTCGGTGAAGGCTTAAAAAGTGAACGTTTTCGTTGTTACTATAGTTGTTGATAACTAAATTCTACTGATCAACTGTCATTGTTCAAGTGTAAAGCACCGATTATTCACTTGAACACTGTTGAAATGAGTATAAACAACTCACATGACTGACACTGTTATTGTTATTAACGATATTATTATTCCATATGCCACCCCCTCCAGCTCCAGTTCCAACTGCAGATTGGGTTGAATCAAAAGCGTTTGTTGTAGCAGCAACACTGTTGCTAGTAGTGCTCACATGTTGATTAGATGGAGGATGATCGAATAAATTTAATAAATCACTAGATACTTGAGGTGATGATGATGCTTGTGATCGTGACTGTGACAGAAATGCCGTCAATTCCGGTCGATCTGTTACATTACTATTATTATTATTATTGTTACTGAATGACGATGATGGCATTGAAGGTATATTGTTGTTATTATTAACTGATAGTCGCTGATCAAACGGCCCGGTACTTGTGGTTGTTGTCAAACCCGCACTGGTATTAGTAGTTCCCAAAACGGTCGTTGCTTGTGCCAAACCCGTACCTAATATGGCCGTATCCAATTCTTCGAATATCACAATCTCTGAAAGACTCAGAGTATTAACTCATTATATTTTAAAGGGTAAATAGACATACATTTCAGAACTAACTGTAATCATTATGACATGAATTTCTGAACAAAAAGATGACATTAATAAAAAAATTAATCATAATTAACAATCATAATCATCAAAATTATCATGAATGAATGAAAATGAATCAATTTAAGTTCAATAATAAAAGTACAATTCGTCTCTATACAATCTGTCCATACAAAATGAAGTTAGTAAAAGAAATCAATCGTTCAGTGCAACAATCATGAGCAATACAACGGATCTGTTGATATCACACAAACCACCAAAACAACTATCTATCACAAATAATAACCAGTTCTTTATTATCATCGTTCTTGCTGGCTTACACACTTCCTCTTAACACATCTATTATCAATCATCTTTACACATCATTCTACCACTACAATCTTATTCAATTATTGCTATTCAACATTTACACCTCCTACTATTATCGTGGAAATGCATTGAATATTAACCGACCAGGTCTATCTTTACCCGTTCCTTTAATGTCCACAAATTTCAGCATAATATCGTTAACATCAAGCTGATCAATTGTTTCTCGATATTGGCTATAAACCTTAAACAAATCAATCAATCAATCAACCAATCAGCTGTATGTTCATGACAACCTTCAATCTATTAATGTTGACAATTACTCGCTCAGTTATGGTAAAATCTCTCCCACACGTCAAATCTATCACTTCTTTGAAATTTGCGTGAATTTGAACAGAATCGATCAGAATTTAAAGATGAACGTTTATCAAACATGATTCTGACTGTGAACTTTGAGTTCTTCAACTTTTAGAGCTGTCACTATGCACTAGAAACTCTATATTCCTTATTCACACCAAAAGTGCCCACTATAGTTAATGGAATGACTAAGTATCAATTGGAACAATATTTTTAAAACCGTAGGTGATATACGAATATTCATGCATGAGTAAAATGACAGATGCAGAGCGAATGATAGTATCGCGTCATTGCGGCATTTCTTCGATTATAATCACGAGACTTCATCGCGACTTTCAATGTTTAACTTTAAAATGGGACAAGATCATGCTTTAGCTTCCGATTTGAAGTTCGTGACTTCCTCCAATTTCTTCGTCTCAAAAATGTTTCAAAAACCTTTCATGCTTTTCAGAATCTACGCGACATTTGATGATACTGGATGAAGTCGGGATGGTGAAACAGAGATAGATGAACGACAATACAAGCCACTAAAAACTGCAGACTACCTGTGAGGAAGCACTCGCATTGAGATCGGCAACACGTGCGAATGAACACAGAAACGTCTTCATTTGTTGTAGAAATGCATGATGATGTTCTTGAAACGCATGTGCTGCCTTTATCATCTTATCTTCAAACTCATCTCGAACACGTCCATACTTTTCCACATATGAACGATATTCTTCACGTGATTTCGTCAATTTACTTTCTGCCTGAATGACAAACACTGCCATTCATTTCATTGCTCACATATTTTTCAGAATTCCGATAACTCTTCTTCTTCACTCGGTTTTCTCATATATATATATAT